AGTGTTATCTACCCGTAACAGTATCGCGCAATTGGTTTCTTTAGATGCCAAGCTTTTGAGTCCGAGAAAGATTGCCAATAGTTCCAAATAATTTATATGGTAATTACGTTCACTAACTGACCACCCTCCGTGAGCGCGTTCTTCATCGCGAACTGCGCCCCAGCCAGTTCGTGAAGCATCTGTGTAAATTTCAATTTTATAGGCGGCGTTTCGCATTGGATGTGATGTTTTTTGAATGTTATTAGTCCACCAAATAAGATCCTCAAGGATAATACTAGGTAAATTGATTTTACTCTCATAATTCTGATTTTCTAATAACGCGAGATATTTTTGACATTCCAATAGCTTGGTGTACAACCAACCGTATTGGACAGCAGGGCACGCCGCAGTTAGATTACCAATTAATTGAGCAAATTCTTGAATAGTGCATGTAGGTAGATAAGTAAACTTCTGAACCAATTGTGTAATACTGTTACGTTTATTATCTGGGAGAGAAACTGTTAGATTTTCAGTGTTAAAGATAAAACCTAAGAATTTACAAATTTGCTTAGGTTGGAGCGAACTTTTATCGAAATTTATGATGAAACCTAGACATTGCAATAGTTTCAAAGTTTCATTTACGTTAGATCTGCAATCGTCATAAGTATTGCCGATGCAGAGAATATCATCTAGATAAACTACTGAATTAAAACCCGCACTTCTCAAATGAGTTACGGCTTCTTTCATAATCTTAGTAAATACCCTAGGAGCCACGGACAACCCATAGGGCATTGACGTGAACTCGTAGGTCGTGGTCTGAGTGTTTCTCTTAAATTGAAATCTTAAATACTTTCTATGTTCAGCATGAATCGGAATTAGTAAGTAGGCTTCTTTCAGATCAATTGTGGCTAAGTATCCGTTTTGAGGTATTAACTTTGCCGCTGTTCGGTAATCTTCCATCTTGAAATGAAACTTTGAAACATATTTATTTAATGGTTTCAAATTTAGTATAAAACGCTTGCTGCCGTTTGTCTTTGGGGCAAGGAATATTTTGGAGACAAACTGGTCTCTACTTGGAAGACATTCTGTTACGGCACCCAAGTCAACCAGTTTTTGAATCGCAGTTGTCATTTCCTGGTGCTCTAACTTCGAAAAGGTGTTGCTAGGAACGTTTGTTTGGCAGGGTTCCTTGCAAAAGGGTATGTATAGACCATTTTGTATGCAATCTAAAATTACTGAATTGGATGATATTCTCGTCCAACAATTAAAAAAGTGCTTAATTCTGCCTGCATGTACCTGAGTTACTGGGGCGCCAGGGCACGAGGCTTGTTCGCTGCTGCAGGCTTCGATGCTGGCTGCTGTTGCGTCGAGCTCAGGTATGGACGGCGGCTCTGCGTCGTCGTTTTCTTCCCACCTCGGTTGCCTCGGTTCGATGAGTACCGGGGTGGGCCGGACCAGTTTCCCGAATTAGAAGAGCGGTGGCTATTGGATTGAGAGCTGGAAGGTTTCGGATTAGTCTTTTTTATTTGGAGACCCTGTCGTTCAATTGCTCTGGCTGCCTTGATCTTTTCTGCAAGTTTGTTACCGAACAAAGTTTCATCTCTTACGGCATCTTGAACTATGTGGAGGAAGTTCTTATCCAGGTTTGGTGTAATGAGCTTTATGCGGCTATTCGTATTTACCGTATGCAAATCCGATAGTATACGGCAGGCATTGCTAAGATGTTGGATAGCATTCTTCTTGTCATCCCCACTTAAGAGAGTATTAAGAGCTCTGTTAATGGCTGTTATCCCCGACCCTAGTTGTTGTTGGTGAACTACCAGGATCTTATCCCTGTTTCTTACAGAGTCTATAACTGCTGCTGATATCTCTGCGTTTAATTTAGGCGCTTGCAGCAACCTACAGTTGTCCGGGATTAAGTACTCCTTCAAAATTTTTTCCTTTTTATCTTTTAGCCGTGTAGTGGCGGTCAAGAATATCCACTACCCCATATCCTCCCGTGCGTGTCGTAAAAGGCGACAAAGGGAAACAGGCAGGAGATGGGCAGCAGCATCTTCCTGAGAATAGCCAAATTACAATAAAAAAACTGCGGTTGCCAACCCGCTCGCCAAGCGTGGCAACTATGGCAAATATCCCCCTATGAATGACAGTAACAAAGAAACGGCCCCCAGTCCCCGGCGGCCCCGCTATTCCTGGCTACGGTGGCGACCATGGTAACGGCGGGGCAGGGGGTGCTAAGAATCTCCGGTGGAGGTTCGGTTGCCACCTTAGACGACTCGACCTGGCAACGTACAACGCACGCACCCTGAGGACTGACGAGAAGATCGTGGAGCTGGAAGAAGAGATAGACAAGTTGCGCTGGCATATTATAGGATTATCCGAAGTCCGAAGAGAGGGGGAGGACACGGTAATCCTCGAATCCGGCAACTTGCTCTATCACCGGGAGGGCGACCATCTGTCCCAAGGAGGTGTCGGATTTATCGTCCACAAGTCTCTCGTTAACAACGTTGTAAAGATCGGGAGTGTGTCGACGAGGGTTGCGTACCTTATACTCAGAATCACCAAACGGTATTCGCTGAAGGTCATACAGGTTTACGCACCAACCTCGGCACACCCCGATGAGGAGGTGGAGGAAATGTATGAGGATATCTCTAGAGCCATGCATTCCTCCGAAACCCAATATACGGTGTTAATGGGAGACTTCAATGCAAAACTAGGCACAAGAGAGAACGGTGAGCTGAAAGTAGGGAAATTTGGAATAGGGCAACGGAACCCAAGGGGCCAGCAGCTGGCCGACTTCATGGAGAAAGAGGGACTCTTTATGATGAACTCTTTCTTCCAGAAGCGACCACACAGGAAGTGGACCTGGTCGAGCCCCGACGGTTCCACAAAAAATGAGATTGACTTCATTATGACGACCAGACGACAACTGTTCAGTGATGTCTCCGTGATCGCGAGGGTGAAAACTGGTAGCGATCACCGAATGGTTAGAGGCACACTGAACCTAAACGTTAAGTTGGAGAGGTCTCGTCTAATGAAGTCAACGCTCCGTCCCCCTCGTGCTCTGTTCCAAAGTCCCGAAACCTTTCAGCTCGAGTTACAAAACCGTTTTCAGTGCCTGGAAGACTGCAATGAAGTGGACGATATGAATGACAAGCTCGTGGAAACTGTCCATGCGGTCGGAGCTAAGTTCTGCAAGACCCGCCGCAGAAGAACACAAAAACTCTCCGATCACACTCTTAATCTCATGGCTGTTAGACGGGAGATGAAGCTACATTCTTCAACAGACTTGACAGCATACAGGCATCTGAACAGACAGATCTCCAAATGCATGCGGCGGGACTTACGCAACTTCAATACAGCTCGTATTGAAGAAGCGATCGAGCGGAATCAAGGCTCCAAAGTCTTTGCCAGAGATCTGTCTGCCAGAAAGAGCCAACTGTCAAAGCTGAAGACAGAATGTGGCAGCATCGTTTCCGGGACACCTGAGATTTTGAGTGAGATTGAGAGGTTCTATGGGCAGCTGTACACATCATCGTTGGAGCCACACGCAAGTGTGAGTAACGATCCAAGAGCGAGTCTCATCCGACACTATTCCGAAGATATCCCGGATGTCAGTCTGAGCGAGATTAGGATGGCTCTCCAGCACCTTAAAAACGGTAAGGCCCCAGGCGAGGATGGAATTACAGCGGAGCTTCTGAAAGCGGGTGGAAGACCGGTACTTGAAGTCCTTCAGAAGCTCTTTAATTCTGTCCTCCATGGTGGCATTACACCGGAGGCGTGGAGCAGAAGTGCGGTGGTCTTGTTCTTCAAGAAAGGTGACAACGCTCTCTTGAAGAACTACAGACCGATTTCCCTTCTGAGCCGCGTCTACGTGCTGTTTTCGAGAGTCATTACGAATCGTCTCGCACGCAGACTTGACGACTTCCAGCCTCCCGAACAAGCCGGTTTCCGAAAGGGCTTTAGCACCATAGACCACATACATACCCTTCGGCAAGTTGTACAGAAGTCCGAAGAGTACAATTTGCCACTATGTCTGGCGTATGTGGACTATGAGAAAGCCTTTGATTCCGTCGAAATTTGGGCGGTGCTGCAGTCCCTTCAGCGGTGCCAAGTTGACTGTCGGTATATCGAAGTGTTGAAGTGCTTGTACAGTAGGGCTACGATGGCTATCCGAGTACAGAACCAGAATACGAAACCTATCCAATTGCAGAGAGGTGTAAGACAGGGTGACGTCATATCCCCGAAACTCTTCACCGCTGCATTGGAAGACGTTTTCAAGCTTCTGGACTGGAAAGGATACGGTATCAACATCAATGGCGAGTACATCACTCACCTTCGATTTGCCGACGATATAGTCCTTATGGCAGAATCGCTGGAGGACCTAAGCCAAAGATCATGTTTAATGTCCATGTCACACCTATGCTGGTAGTTGTTGGGAGCACTAAGCTCGAAGTTGTTGACGAGTATGTTTACCTGGGACAAATAGTCCGACTAGGTAAGTCCAACTTCGACCGAGAGGTCAATCGACGGATTCAACTCGGCTGGGCAGCCTTCGGGAAGCTACGACACATCTTCTCGTCAGACATACCTCAAAACCTTAAAACTAAATTGTACAACCAGTGCGTGTTGCCAGTGATGACTTACGGAACTGAGACGTGGTCCTTCACTGCTGGCCGTATGAGGAAGCTCAAGGTCGCTCAGCGAGCTATGGAGAGGGCTATGCTCGGAGTTTCTCTGCGTGATAAACTTAGAAATGAGGATATCCGCAGTAGAACCAGAGTGACCGACATAGCCCAACGGATTAGTAAGCTGAAGTGGCAGTGGGCCGGCCATATAGCTCGAAGAACCGACAACCGATGGGGAAGAAAGGTTCTCGAGTGGCAGCCTCGTACCGGTAGGCGAAGTGTAGGGCGTCCCCCCACGAGATGGAGTGACGACCTGGTAAAACATGCAGGAAGTCGATGGATGCAGGTGGCTCAGGACCGTGCTTTGTGGCATTCTTTGGGGGAGGCCTATGTTCAGCAGTGGACTTGTGAAGGGCTGTAATGATGATGATGATCTTTTGGCAAGCCTTTGACGAGTAGAGGAAGCCACAATTTGGCTAAACTCTCGTGAATTCTTTCTCCAAACTCTGGGGTATCGCTGGTGGATTCACCGAGGGCTTCTAAAAGTTCAGGGTCCAATTCTGGTTCGGCTGATTCATCGTTCGGGTTTTGTTCCAACGAGGTTGCCTCTAAAGCCAGTGGCTCTAATGGTTTCTCTGTCCTGGTCTCTGGTCTAGACACTGGCTCCACTGCGAGCTCAGGTTCTGGCGTAAGCTCGGGCTCCGGCATGGGCTCAGGCTCTCTGATGGATGGTGTGGGACACTGTCCTGAAGAGTTCCCGAGATCCTTCGCATTATTTTTAAGGCTTAACTCAGGTTGGTCGGCATCTTCAACACCTAAAACGAATATTTTTAGGGTTAGAAAAGTGAATTACTTCAACAAACGAGGCTCACGGCCTGCCCTGATGAAGCATTTTGTTTCAACGAACGAGGCTCACGGCCTGTCCTGATGATAGCTGGTAGCGTGTAAAAAACAACACGTGTTAACGAAACCTAAAAGTTACGTAATCTTGACTCATGATGAATCGTAATAATAAAAAAGTTTATATGCTTACCTTCACTATTGGAAGAATCGGATGATATGACGCGTATTCGGCGATGTCGTCCGATATCGCGTTCACGTAATTTTCTAATTTTGCGTTCGTAACACTCGATTTTTTCTTCCGCACTTCGTTTTGGCATTATGATTTTAATTATAAATACTGAAGGCAAGAATAAAGTAAAAACTTATTCGGAGACGCGTGCTGTCGTCACCGTGCACGAAAAAGGAATGAGCTCAGAATGGCGACTCACCCCGTCCGCGAGTCGGCGGTGGTAGGGGTAAATCGGTTCACAGTTAACTTCAGTTTAGTCAAATGAATGTCTTTTTAAGCGTGCATAGAGTCACCTGTAGGTTAAGGGGACTACCTGGTGAATATTTATATCTGAAAAATGAAGCGATGAAATATAATAATAAATTACTGTAGTATTTAAAAGTTGTAAACTATGTATAGTTTAACAGTTCCTTAAGTCAGTGATAGGACAAAGTATATCGAGGACATAATTCCGAATGAGTTTCAATAAATGAGAGATGAGAACTGCCTACCCATTTCACTGTTAACGATTTCCAGCTTAGTCCTTCAACTCACAACGCCTAATCTATGCGATTCTCATTCGAGAAAAAGATGTAGATGTCTTAGCTAGGCTATACGCATACACTTCTTTAGAATTACATACTTGCACGATGAAATCAGAAAAGCACCTCACCTATACTCATCAAGAAATTGGTTCGTACGCCTCTACCGAAGAATGAATAGATATAAAATAAGGGCAGAGTTAGTCGTAGTCGTTACACATTATATATACATTTGTATATGTGTATATATTGACAATTCGAATATGTATGTAAGCGAATGTGTATGTATTTATTTTATACGAGATATTAAGGCCATAATGTGTTCTAAATGTATATTTATAAATATATATTTTTTTAGATTCTATTCATTTTTATTTTTTTATTGCTACACCTACGTTATATTTCCATCAATCCTCGGGTTGACTGGTAGATAATACTTTAAGGCATGAAGTCCGCCCACTTTATCCATCTTTATAGGTGAATGCAATAAACATTGTTAATTAATAAATAAATATCCCCTCAATTGTATATAAAAGAAACAATAAATAGTAGACTTACATATAAGTTATGTTACCCTAGTAACATAAATGTCTCAATAAAAATATTACGAGAAAAGAAAACCCTTAACAATCCAATTACTAGCGATAACGCCACGTGTCACTTAATTATCACAAAGAAATGTAACATAATTTTAGGTAACACATCTTCTACGCACTTAACCGTGTAGTGGCAGTATAGGAATATCCATTTACTCATATCATTCTGTAAGAGGTGACAGAGGTAATAAAACCAGGAGATAAGCAACAGCGTGAAAAAATTGCTGTTGCCAACCTACCTGCCAAGCATGACAACTATGGCAAATCCCGCCAATGAGGCAATATATTGCGGAGTAACGGAAAGTAACTTGTAAGATACTGCATTCGTGATACCTTGCTTCTTTCTTCGGTAATAGTACATCCTTTTTACTGGGAGAGGGGGACTGCAGAAGCTTCATATTGTAACGAACCTCCCCCCCCCCTCTCTCTTTTCTTCTATATATATTTATACTTGTATTTCTTTAGAATCTATAATAAGATATATAAATATATCAAATTTACGTGACCAGTATATTAATCATACATTGATCTTTCTAAAGGTTTAAATATAGGCCGTTTAATAAATTTATGGCGTGATCGTCGTAGTTAGGACCCTTATTTACGTTGTGTTTGCATAATAACTTAGTTATTTTAGGTGTATCTTGGAAGAATGAATATTCACGAGAGTAATCGAAAGCTGTTGGTAGCGTCTTATATGCTAAAGAACCCCGTTCACGAAGACAGAGCTCAAAAAGGTTAAGAACAATGAATTGTCCCTATTCCACTTGGAAAAGGCTCACAATATTTATATCAAATACCAGATACAAGGGCTTCGCTCTCCCACATTTAAAAAAATTGTGGAGGAGGTACACGGCTCCGCACACGCCGTGCACGGTGAGCGCCAACCTAAGGGTACGCTAAGTTGGGAACTGGACCGTAGTCCACAGCAAAATAACTGGCGAACCAGTAAAAGAGGACTTGGCCCCTTGATAGTGCGTAAGCAAAAACATCGACCGAAGTCGCGTATGTCAATGCGTGTAAACGCCATACAGAATACGATCAAATCCAGCCACAGTGAATATACGTCACACGGGTTAGGCAGCAATAGGCACACTGGCCATAAAAAGCCTTCCGTGAGCGCCACCACCTGCCAGGCCGCCGTTCCTGGAGACGTGATGTAAGTGTAAGGCATCATCACCAATTGCATGGTCAGCAAGCCAATTGGCCGCAGAGCGTGTCATGAGTCTACTGCTCACCTCAAGAGAATGGGGTCCCACGTTGCGCGGCTTTCGGCCGCAGCCTTGAGAGCCTCCTCAGATTCTCCCTCCAGCTACCACCCGCATAAGGTCGACACATATGCTCCACCAACCAATACAATGGCAGATATAGCCAATAGGCAGTTATAAGATATTAGTAATAATTCGCCATCAGAAAGGGTTTGTGTCACTGATGTTGAGTATATGCATTTTTCGATCATGTTTGTTTCACCCACCAACAAGTTGCCTTCACTCTTTCAAAGGTACGAACTTTATAGAAATATATTATTATGTTGTTATCATAACATCATGGAGGACAGACAGTCTGCAGCCCCGCAATGAAGGGACCCGACTTGAGCAAAGCTACTTAGGTTGTGAATCAAACCAAGATGCAGAGAGTGCCATTGAGAATAGCGACCCGCCAAACAACCAATGCAATGCTTGTTGCATTCTGCAGCATGTTGCATTCTGCAATGCTGCAGAATGCAACAAGCATCAATACGACTATCGTCGGGCTGACACCATCCCAAGGTCCCCCATACAGTCCCAGCAGACATCACCACCCGCATACCTCCATCGACCAGAACCACAATATGCGTCGATTCAGGTGCAGTACACCCGCAGATCCATCACAAGACGCAATACTGCAAGTAGCAGTAAGCATCAATGCAACTATCATTCGGATGGCGCCCCCTTACAACACTCCCACATGACTCCTATCGACTTTGGTAACAAAATTGATAATGTTGTTAACTAAAAATACCACCAACGTATCTAAGTAGCACGGTTCTAAGACGTCAGTAGCCAAAAGTCCACATATCACAGCGCTATTGCACTAAAACAAGAAGTTGAGTATGCTTGCTGCACTTAAAAGTACTACCAAACACATTCACCCTAATCCGAAAGATAGCCGACGTATCATAACGCTATGCGCTAAGACGTCGCCCACAAACGGTAGGAGTGTGCGATGTCCACGGGCAAGTCGTGTTGCTACAACAAACCCGCTTACCACCGGCACTAAGGTGATATGTCTAGGACACATTGGTTAGCGAGTCCAAGTTTACCTCGGTCTCAGAGGCTGCGAAGCAACCTAGACGCCGCTATAATAATCCTTTTCAAGTCCCATTTCTTTCAATATAATGCTTTTACATATTTGAGACCTTCCACATATTTGCTTTATTTCATAGACCATACTATTGTAAGTCTTATTCATATGTGACTTCAAGTTATAACTCTGCTATCATAATGCTTATGCATCATAGAGACCTTCTATATTAATGCTTTGGTTCGTTAGACCTTACTATGGTAAGTCCCTAATATAGGACTAGTCATTGTGCAACCTTAGTACTAGCAGTCGGTCAGCCGACCACCCCATATATATGTACAACCTTGAGTATATGTCTCCGGTTACGCCCCAATATAAGAGAATATTACAAGAACACGTTCATCAACTTAGAATTTTTCCAATTATTACAAGAACACCTTCATCAACTTAGAAAATTTTAATCCATTTTTTCTATTATATTACAAATGTTATTTATCTTTGTTATTGCAATATAATCGCCTTGCATTTATATGATTTGATATATTTTGAACATTTTAAGCAGGTTTTTAATAAATTTAGAGATTTTTAGAGACAATTTATGTGTTTACTAATAATACTATAATATCCAATATTCCAAATGAATACATTTGAAATTTTTGCTTATAATTTGCATTTAATTGTTTAAAATATAATTTCTATGACATTTTTAAATGTTTGTATAATGAATTTAATTATTATTTATTAATAATAATTATGAGGCGTCACAATATAAACGCCCTGAAGCGCATGCACACAAACGCTGAGTTCACCTACTGTAGCAGATCGAGAAAACCACGCGATATTTAGTAGTAGGGCATTAGGTATTTTCACTCATACTCTCTCTGTCTGTTTGGTACTACAATAAATATGTAGAAATAACATATGGTTATTATGAATTTTGGCTAACACTTCTACATCACTATTTTTTAAAACATTATCTTGCCAAACATCCGTATGTCTGTACAAGAAATTCAAGGCATTTTTCCTTCACCACAAAAATAAGAGAAACTGTACTTACCTGATTTACTAATTTGGATTAATAACAGAATTGAAATGAAATTAAAAAAAAACTACGGCGACTTAGACACAGCTGCAACCAACTTTAAACAAAGAAAGTCTTAGATGCGTTGTCATCTCTCAGTACTGACAATATGTACAAACTATAAATACTAACTCGAGATACTTCCGCCCTCCAAAGGGGAATACAAAAGTGAATGCAATACTGTTTGGTGGAAGAAAAACAGGGAACCACCGCAGACAGGCTTCTAGCCAGGAACGGAGAACAAATTTAACAAATGACTAAAACTGTAAACCTATTTAACACATCTTCTTCTTCATCGATAACTCCTAAAAGTCCACAGCTGGACATTGAACTCTACTCTGAGATAGAAAAACTACGATTACAGCAACACTATGACAACTTTGATGCTGCTGCCCAAAATATTTTCTTATAGAATAAGGGTGACAAACGAGCCCACAGTCCTCATGATAGTAAGTGAATGCTGTTTCCCATAGATATCTACATATATCCTCAATTAAGAATCAAAATGCTTATGCGTTGTCACCCCAGAGGACTGAGATGGAATGCCTCGTTTCCAGTAAAAAGGCTCACCGGTTCTCTACACTCACCATACGAAACACAACAAGTCTGG